TAAAAGTTATCGCCACAACGGCTTTTTTGTACGATTCTTGTTTTTATTTGTTGACAAATTATAAAATCATAAATACACAATCGCACGAATCATTAAAGTGTGTCAGTAAAACAAACAGATAGATAAGTTAAGAAAAAAAAAAAAAAAAAAAAAAAAAAAAAAAAAAAAAAAAAAAAAAGAGAAGAATAAAGGATAAAAGCGTAACGAAAGTAATTATTTAACAATAAGATCCATACAAAGAGAGCAAAACAATGGGCGAGGTGAAACGAAAACTACGGCGGAGGGACTGAAGAGACAGGAGAGGAAAGAAATGATTACAGCTCGGGGCTCAGTAAAAACCAGACAAAAGGGGAAAAAAGAGCAGTTATCCAAGCAAAGAGCAGAACTTGATCAGAAAATCGAAAGAGCGATCAATTAGCAAAATAATGATAAATGTACTCCCAACGCTTATGATTTATTCTTAGATATATATGAATAAAGTTTATTTTTGTCACGTACGCTTTTTTTTATAATCAAATTTTGTGATGGATACGTGGATATACAATCTAAAACAGTGCATAAATTATCGCACTCCTCGTGATTTTTATCCACATTACTATCCCTACAACCATTTTAATTTAAACGATAAACTGAAATCAATTGGATTTACTTTGATCCTCGAAGCTAAACTTCAACATTTTTTTACACTAATCTCAACGATTATTTTTAATAATTTCTGCCCAGGCTTTTACAAACGCATATCCATGATAACGCCAAGTTATTCAGATTTAGTTCAGTTTTACAAGCAGAGTGAACTCGAAAATGTAACAAAGGTTAACTTCAGCCGTGCATCGTGCCATGCTCGTAATAGTTGTGAATTGGACACTTGGCGTGTTTCGGTGAGTAGTTGAAATGATTGCCTTTAAAATAATAAAATGAAACAGAAACACATTTTTCATGAAATCTAAGAAAAAATCAAACTGTCCCTCCATCCATCTGCTTACTAGTCAGGTTACACGAATAAAATTTCGAAGAAACTCTATACGCGTACGTTTGCACACGATATCTAAGTGAAATGATATACCTCATTCTCAATGCCATAACTTCCGTCATTACAGTGAACTTATGTTGTGTCCTGGGCAATTTTACCGAATCGGTATTATATATAAATGCATAATAACCATAACTGCAGTGTATTTTTTTTTTTTTTGTTGAAATCGAGGTTGAAATTACGTGTCTATTGGAAGCATATATATGAGCTGCATCGATCCAATGGTCGTGTTACATAATACAATTTATTTCATTGTTTTCTGTCTCTAGACTCGCACCTTGCCCCTTATCACTCATGAGTACCTATTGAATGAAAAAAAATACAAAAGACTTGAGATTAAAAAAAAATAATAATAACAACTCGGTTTCACAGTCACTTTGACGATTGACTGATATTTTTTTTTCATCAGACCTCTTTGAGGTGAAATTAATTATACAGATAAAAATTTATCAACAGTCAAAATGGCCATTAAACATACAAACACAAAAGCTTGTCCATCGGTATCGCTATCACACGCCTCAATTACCTACGTTTTTTAAACGAATTTCGAAAAAAAATTGCTACATATCGTCACAGTCGTTACCAAACACTCGAAAGATCTAACGATACAGAATGGGTTGCTGATAAAATTTAAAACCAATCGCCTGTTGTCGCGCACATTTTATATCTTTTCATAGTCTATGACTACATTATCTGCTTTGCGGAATTCTTTAATCGCCACTCGAAATAAGTAGGGCAAGTGTATTAATTATCGTGGGCTACCCTAATACGGTGAATTGAAAAAAAAAACTGCTGATTGATTGGTAAACGAACAAATATGAGCTGTGGGTGAAAAAATATATATATATTTTTTTTTTTCATATCAATGGTCCAAGGTGACGTAAATTATGATAAAATTGGGATGGAAATGTAAAAATGTATGTGACAAAGACAACGAATAAACATCGGGACAAAGGGTACCAAAAAGTGATAAGAGAAAGAAAAAGGACAAGATGATTGCTAGAACAACGTGTCGACGCCTTGCATTGACTAAGTCAATATTTGAGTGTGTCCAAGATTTTCCCAATGATGATTCAGTGGGTACATGTAATCATCCGTCTTTCTCCGAAAATATTTTTTAAGTCATCGAAAACATTGAGATCACGTTTGGTTTGAACTTCAAGATTTAGAAAAATTTCCAAGTTATGAGTAAATCATGTGTATTTAAATGCTTTGGATATTTTTATCGAATAAATTGTGAAAATACAAAATGTGTTTCAAAAAAATTTTTATGCGTAAAACACTTTATTTTACAATATGGTGGAACACTTACACACTGTTCAAATTGTTGTTAATACCAAAATTTGTTTCTTGAGTTAACTCGTGGTAAATAAAAATTAAAAATTAGCTATCCTCTAATAATGAAACGATCCACCCAAAATCTTTCTTTCTATTGTTTTTACAGAGTTGGACATTCATCATAAATTTGGTTAATTAATTTATAAGAAAAAAGTAATAATTATATCTTAAAAGATTGGTTGTTGCGTGACTAAAGCCATATTACTCGCAGTGAGATTTGTTGAAATATTTGTCAAAGATTGGTTGCATTAAAGTGCACAAAATATTAAAATGGAGAGAATAATTATATAAAGCTGCAAACGCTATGTGGACTGGTTTGCCTGAGAAGTAAGTAAGGAGCGTGTGGTAACGGTTTGAATGATTTTTTAAGTTGAAAAACGTATAGTAGCCCACCGATCGTACCACAGGTAAGTGAGGTAAGTTAAACGTAAGTGACCTACCGGTGGGTAATATTTTTTGTTTTTATTTTTACAATTTTGTTAAAAGCCAATGTACTAGCTGCCTTACTATTGCGTTTTTTTTTTTTAATTGCTTTCTTTTATTCATCTCACCTTATAAAGGGTAAAAATTCACTNTAAACGCGGTGTTCTCGAATTTACTTTTTAGCTTCTTTGGATTTTTTAGAATCCTTAGCAGTTTTAGCTGGTTCCTTGCTTTCCTCTGTAGCCTTTACAGCTTTAGCTTTCTTCGGGCCTTTTTTGTCATTACGTTTTAGCCTGTAAAAGACTGTGGACCTAATGGCGTTGCGGATTCGTCTGGCACGACGAAGTTTAAATCTGTCAAAGTCTGACAATTGGGCACGCTGAAATTATAAATAATATTGATGAGTTTTCTAAACAAAAAATAGTATAAAATTAATGAAACAAAGTTTATTAGATCAGTGGGTACTGAAAACAATGCATATTTACTTATTTAAATATTGATAAGTTTTCAGTAATATCCTACATGTATTATATGGTAATTATAGTACTGAATTCTAAATAAATACTATGATGCTATCATTAAAAAAAAAAAAAAAACAAAAAAACTGTTGTGTTTAGGAAAATCTTGATGAACATCAAAAACGGAGTAATAATATAAGCATTCTAAAATAATTATTGCTCTCTCATTTTTTAATTAATAATTGTAAAAGTACACAACGTTTAAAAAATTTTAAAACCATGTGTTTTTTTATACATCTCTGTTATGTAGTAAAATAAAGTTTTAATAACTTGTAAAAATGTTGAAAATGTCTGGTTACCTTTCTTACTTAAAATCACTTTTGGACTACTTTAACGTCAACTTGATTGTAACTTGTGATCAAAATAGATGATACCATTTGCATGACAACACCCTAAAAGCAAATGGTTGAGCTAATTTATCATAGTTTTCAGCAATAAATAAATTTTACTTTAATTGTTTGTGTATTAGAAAAGTTGCCATAAATAAGCTCAATCCCATAACATTAGGAGCTGTCATTCATATGTTACCACTGATCATGGCCATCAATTAAGGTGAAACCAGTCCATATACGTGACTTTTTTATGTTGTAATATTGTAAGAAAAAAATTTTGCCAAACTTTTTAAAAACGGAATGCTTAACAATAATTCTATAAAAGACAAAATTATTTTAAAACGTGAAGTTAATTAATTTGCTCACCTTCGCAGGTATCCAACACGAGCCCCAGGACGCTCGAAGAAAGACTAAGAACGAACAAGTCCATACTTTTTACTGAACTGTTATCGAACACCTACGATTACGAAGATTGCATCTTGATATTACGATTACGAGTTACCTCATTCGCATGATGTTTAAGCAGATATTATATTTTTCTCCGATATTTTTGATGCCAATAATACAATTGCTCTACTTTTCACTTGCCCGCGCAAATTCCCAGTCGTTGTAACTTTTTTTTATTTCCCATATTTGTATTTCCTGCAAAAAATGACAAAAATAGTCGATAAAATGGGTAAACTGTTTAACATCAACAGAGTCAATAATTTATGCTATGATTGTTGAGAGTTTTCAACAACAATTAACTTTGAATAAATTTGAGAAATGTTAAAAAAAAAAAAAATTACATGTTTATATAATTCAGCCAACATAAATTTTATTACTAATTAGCATTATTACTTATAGCCAAAAAAAAATCTAGTCGAGTCTACTAATTTACTAAAACCGGGTTACTACCTACAATTGTGAGTTTGGTAGTAGCGCCGTAGGGACGCGTTTACCCCACTTTAGGTAATCGCGACTAAATAGTCTAGTTAAACTAGTATTCGACACTATTGGAACTTTGTTCTTCTTTATTTGCTCTTTTAATAGCAAATTAAATATGAAAAAAAAAAAAAAAAAAAACTTAAGCAACTTGGGAAAGAGCAAGATTTATTCATTTTTTCTCGGTCAAATTTTGAAATTTTAATTTCATAAATCGTATGATGACGTCTTTTTTCCCCAACAAAAACTAAGTTGGTTATAGTAATATAGCCGGAAAATATTGGTAGAAACTGATAATATTTATTAACGTAACATCAATTTTTCACCATTTACGAAGAATAGTTATATGTTGCGCTATTTTCAGAAATAAACTGACAACAACAGCTCGGTATGTGAATAAACAGTCTGGTTTATTTTTGATTGCTCTCCATATTTCTGCACACGTTTTCCTTTACAATTATCAAATTTTTTTTTAAAGTATACATTTGCGCGAACTGCAGTTTTATCGCTTTTATTCTTTCTAATAACAAAATTACCCTCAAGAAACTAAAAAAAAAGATTTTTTACTTACATTTTTAAGAAAGGTCTCAAAATATTTTCCATTTGACCTTGTTTCGCTTTACATCACACACAATGTGATTAATAAAATACACTTTTGATTTATTTTAATGTCAAACGCCAATATCAAGTTTTTTCACTCGGATCAAAATAAGCACTTTGTGCAAGATAAAAACATTAGATGATCCGTTGCATCAATATTTCTTTTTTTTTACATTAAAAAAAAGACTATATACATTCATGACAGGGAGTGATAACAGGTCCAACATTGGTAGCCCTAGCAACAAATTAGTGCTCTCCAGTCCACGTCCTTGGCAAATTGGCTCGTTCCGCATAAAAAGTGATTACACCGTGCAACAGCATCATCAGCAGCTGCAAGAGAGCCAGCACCAGTCCCCCTTTATTGCGGGTTAATCGGTAAGTACATACGCAGAGGCTTCTGACGCTCCCATACCACGGGGAAAATGGGACATTACTTCCGCTCGTGGGGTCTGTCCATATGAACTTGTCAAGATTGATGTTCGCTCCAGTCATAGAGAGCGAGAGAGAATAGACGAGGAGATAAGCGCTCGGGCTTTGTGCGCATCAAATCCCAATCCACCTTGTTTGGATGTGATGAGCAAATGACAGCCCGCTTTTGGTCATCGAAATTTGTAATGTCCACAATTGTATGTATACCAATTTTGCTGGGTATGTTACGTAATTGATAATTTATGCACTACTCCAATAATTATGCGCTAATGTGACACAACGACACAACCACAATGTAATTTTAGTGGCGTCTAGTGCAAAATATATGGAGTTAAATTTCAAATTACGGAATGGATAATTTTTGTTAAAATAATATTCATCTATTTACAAAAAAATATACTTTACACTCTCTTTGTTCTTTAATCGATTGTTTTTGTATAGTATCTCTATCGATCAAATTATTTACAAACCTTTAAATTTATGTTTAATCTTTCAAACTTTAGCACGTAAAACATATGGTTCCACATATTTTACATCATTTTAAATGGGTACGTTCACATAAAAATTCAGTGTATTCAGTCTTGTTAGTTATTCACACATTATCTTCCAATTCGGCAAGTTGATTCAACTAAAAAGTAAAAAAGATATACAAATGTATTTCATGAAAATGAACGCTCAAAAGAAAAAAACTTGAAAAATAATGTAACTCTACACACTTCTTGAATTTTCTGATTTTCTTGAGCAAATAAGTTGTCAATGATCTCATGGAAACGCTCTCTCAGCTTTTCATTTTCGATATTTGCTATTTTTTCTTCCTGCTGCCGTCTTTGCTCTTGCAAATCACGCAGTTCAGCTTGCAGTTGCTCTCGCCGAACTTGAATGGTATCTGAAAATCAAGATAATTTACAGTGTACGTTTGGTGAGATATTGTTATTGCTGCACGGTTATTCATACCTTTGCTAATCATAATGTTTTGAGACAAGGGGTATCCCACAGAAAGATCATAGTCATGGTAATTTTCTATTTTTGGTATTTTTACGTCTTCAATGTCGGGTTTGATGTCTTCAATGACATCTGTTTCAAACATTTCTTTGGAAAACTCAGTTACCAATTGACCGCTACTAGTAGACGGAACGTTAGCAGACGAGTAACCAACTTGCATTGAATTGGAATCCGAGACTCTACTATCCGCAGACATGCGACTATTTTCATCCATGTCCGTAACATTTATGGGAACGTCATCGTCTTCGCTGTCACTAACTGCTTCACCAAAGATGTCATGTTCGGCTAAAAAAAAAATTATTCCTTTAAATTATTTGAAAACAAAAAACTGGGTGCCTACATGTATTATATGGTAATTATAGTACTGAATTCTAAATAAATACTATGATGCTATCATTAAAAATTACTCACCAACATCAACACTTTGTGAAACGTCATTGTGATTTTCACTTTTGACCTCAACAGTTCCACTTGAGGAGACTATATTTGGCTTTGTCTGATCTTCATCCTCACAAATCACCTCCCACCTAACGTTCACGGCATCATTATCAATCCTCAACAAACGTTTGACTTCCTTCTCAATTTCCGGTGTTTCAACGTATTTCTTTTTCAACGTTTTCCTGAACCTTCTTTTCCTTATGTTCTTGGACGGTGGCGTTATACCATGAGGCCAAAGGAACTTTTTGTCGACCTTGATGGGATCTTTTTTCTTCTGTCGAATTGGAGACTCCTCATCCGTCGTGTGATCCTCCTCTTCTTTGCAGATAAGTATCTGCACAATCGTAGTAATTTTTTTTTCAGTTACGTGACCCGACTACGTGCTAGCATGTTATTCATTGTTAACAACAAACAGTGTACCTGGCAAATGTCCGCAGTCTTGTAGAAACTCTTGTTGTCGATGGTTTTCAGGGACTCAACGATTGTCGGCAAATCCAATAGCTGTAGCAAAAGATTGCGTGCAATACACAAGAAACTCGCGTAAAAATATCGAGTGAGGTATAAAGAAAAGGCGCAACTACCTTTGTATGAAATAGCCAGTTGTCAAATCTAACTGTTCCGTTTCGTAAGTCAGTATCCAGAGATATGGCCAGTCTTTCTTTCAGAGGCAAGCCGTTGCGTAAAATTTCTCTTAAAACATTTGAAGCTTCCTGATAGTCAAAAACAAATTATATTAGATATAACTCTAGTTTGTGTATACATCATGAACAATAAGGTTAGAAAACACTTACCTCTGGAAACCGCATTATAAACTGACTTTCTAGCTCCACTTGCGGCTCTCCTTTGTTTTTGTTTTCTGAATTGTTTTGTCTGTTCGTTTTTGAAACTGTCCTGACTTTTTTTCTAACATTACTTTCGCTTCCGTCCATTTTCACTCAGCAATCAGACTTATCAGACGGTATATGCTGGGTGTTTTTCCGCAATCGTCACCGTCACCATAGTATAAACCATAAGAGCTGAGGCAGAGTGACAGTAGAGTCTACTCATTTCTGCATGGCTGAGGCCGAAGGGTGGTCAAAATTTTAACCAGCCGCTACTCAACCAGAATTGAGGAACCTTATGATTCGTTTGGATCCGAAATATTTAAGTAGATCATATTTTATAGTGGTAAAGAGTAATGTGGTAATTATAATAGTGCCATGTAGTTTTTTTCATTAACCAGCCGCAATTTGCACCAATAGATAGAAACTAAAAAAGTTGTTGCCTAAGTGTGCCATTTGCGAATAGATTAGAATGTATCTTGTACCCGAAAATCGACCTTCAAGAATAGACTCCCTACCCGATCTTATCTATGAAACTCATCTAAGATAATAGTGATGTATTATAGATAACATTGTAGATAAGAATACAGTATCTATATTTTTGGAGATCGATTTTCGGGTACAAGATGCATTCTAATCTTGCCGCAAGTAGCACATTCACATTACAAATTTTTATTTTCTATCTATTGGTGTAAGTTGAGGCTAGTTAATACAAAAGATCATACGGCACAACCATGATTACCACATGCTCTTTACCACTATGAAATATGACCGAAATATTTTAGATCTCCACGAATCATAAAGTTTCTCGATTCTGGTGATGGTGGCGGCTGGTTAAAATTTTGACCACCCTTTGGCCTCAGCTTTTGGTCTAGTATAAGGACTAAGGACGCGGCCACATCTTAGACGCGTCCGACTGCGTTGAAAGTTGAATACAGCCTCTGATTTTTTCATTCTGGTAAAGAGCTTAAAGCCATTTAATCAATTATAAACCAGCCGCAACTCATCCTGCAGCTATAAAAAAAAAAAATAACGAGACTTGTGTTTTTGGCGGCAAGTTAACTATCTATTTTCTACCAAAAAATTGACCTTCTATGTATTTATACTTTTGAAGATAAATTTTCGAATGAAGGTAAGATTGTTAACTTGCCGCCAAAAATACAGGTATCGTTATTTTTTCATTTCATAGCTACAAAATGAGTTGCGGCTGGTTTATAATAGGCTTAATGGCTCTAAGCGCTAATACTGTGCCTCGAAGTGAACCATATGTATATATATAGACATACGCATGAATAGACATGTACGTCAATTGATGAATGATTACCTATTTAGCCAGTTTTTTCTGTGTGAATATTCGCGAATTGTACGTTTGGTCACTGAAACAACTGGAATGAAATTATTGAAATAAAAAATATATATTGTTTCACGAGTTTCTTGATGTATAGGGAACCAAACAGAACTGGTTCTGTGTATATAGGTATATTTTGTTAAGAGAACCGAACCGAACCAAAAGGGGCTTGAACAAATCTATTGTCTCAAGATCCCTTCTGAATGTCAAATTGTTTTTACAGTAAGCTTTGCACTCTCTTCTTTGGACTTTCAGTAGTGTTTGCTAAACAGACGTTATTTTCTTAATAACCACTTAGATTTGTCAAATTGCTAGGTGTAATGTTGTAAGATTGAGACTAAAATGTACTCGTCTGGGAATAGAATTTATGAAACGGTGAGGGAATATAATTGCACAACGTTATCCAAGTAAAAAAATGTCAACTATTTTTTTTATTGAGTTTTATTATTTTAAATATAAACAGATTTAAACGCGGTGTTCTCGAATTTACTTTTTAGCTTCTTTGGATTTTTTAGAATCCTTAGCAGTTTTAGCTGGTTCCTTGCTTTCCTCTGTAGCCTTTACAGCTTTAGCTTTCTTCGGGCCTTTTTTGTCATTACGTTTTAGCCTGTAAAAGACTGTGGACCTAATGGCGTTGCGGATTCGTCTGGCACGACGAAGTTTAAATCTGTCAAAGTCTGACAATTGGGCACGCTGAAATTATAAATAATATTGATGAGTTTTCTAAACAAAAAATAGTATAAAATTAATGAAACAAAGTTTATTAGATCAGTGGGTACTGAAAACAATGCATATTTACTTATTTAAATATTGATAAGTTTTCAGTAATATTTACATTTTTTTATAGTTCAAAAATTGATCTTAAAAGTGAGTAGGTAATACATAACAAAAAAAAAAAAAATGTTGAAATGCTCAAACATTATTTTACAAGTAAAGAAAAGTTGCAATAATTTTATTCATGATGCATTCAGACAACAGTTTTCATGAAATCGTAGAGTAAATGAAAATTAGAAACTGGAGTTGGAGGGAATAAAATAAACATACCAATTTTTTCGCCTTGATTTTTCCAGCCCACATTGTCTTACTCCACTTCTCTTCGAACTCCTTCCAATCCCAAGCCTTACGAACTGCTCGTGTAGAGGCTGTAAATGGAAATTTGATGTGGAATTTGGTTAAATGAAGATCATTTAACCTCATCTGTTGTCGTGGTACTTTAGTGTGTGGCCCATCAACCAAAACCTGCAAATCGTTACAATCTTTGAGTACAATTTAAACATGTGGAAAAAGTTGAATTGATTGTTGTCAAAATATTCAGTTTATAATTTGGCTTCAGTTATGTATCAGCCGGCAATTCCTATCAAGAATAAGGGTTCATCATGATCAGCTAGTAAAAAAAAATGTTTCACAATAATACAAGACCTAGTGATTCAAGTGCCAATATGTTGCATGCAATTACATGAAGAACAAATTATCGTAATTACCCTGTTTTGGTCGATGATATCGACAATCGCCACCAATTTGCCCTGGGAAGGACCATCATTGACGTAGGCCACTCGGCCGGTCTGCACGAATCGCTGGAACGGCTGAAATAAGCAAATAAACAAAAACAAATTGTAGTGATGATTGACTTTCCCAGACACCCATCAGATATATTGTAACCTCAAAATTGTGATCTCGGCCTTAGAAGAAAAAAAAAACACGTTACACGACTACACGCGTGAGATGAGTCGAAAGGAAATTCCCAAATTTAGCTTCGAAGCCTACCGACTGTACAAATGTAAAAAAGGTGATTATCAATGACGACGAGTCTTTAAACAACTGAACCGTGAGCAACGATACGTATGAAGCAAGCCATGTGGCATCGTGTTCGGTGAAAAGAGGTTATCCTGCGAGTGCGTTTGTTAAATAAACAAAAACGGCAATAATTAAGGTAACAACACCGGCACAGGGATAAAATAATAACGTGAAACCAACGAATAATCGAAATAACGACAGAAAAAAAATTGTTGATAACCAACGTACTTGTTGCAAAGGAGAAAAAGTACGAGAGCACGAGAGCAGGCGTCACTTACCATTGTGCCTCGAGAATTCCAAAAGCGAGAAAAGAAGGACGAAACCCCCCCAGCTCCGCCGCACGAGAGACTGGAAAAGCTCACCCGGAGAGTCGCGCGCTTGACTCGCGCGCGCGCGCAATAATCGTCACTGTAATTGGCGCTGCTTTTGAAAACACGTTTATTACATCAACCATTTTCACGCGATACTCTGATACTTTACATATTCTCACGCTTGCAATATTTGATGCTATGATGAAAAAATACTTTTAAAGTATCACTATTGTTTTTTACGTTCAGTCACATTGAACATGAAAGGGTTGAAATTTAGAAATGTGCAGTTGGATTTGGTACTTGTATTTGACTAGCCACGTCCTCCCAGAGTCGAGCGGTGATTGGCCCGCTTGCTTACACTTTCGGTAGGATCTATCTTCGCATTCGTCGATTACCACACGTAAGATCTAGGATTGCCATGCCATAATGCCATATACGCCATACTTTCACAAATTTTAGTGCCTATGCATGGAGTCATTGGAGTCGAGCGCGTAAGGTGATTCAACAGCATTTATTTCGTCATATCAAGACTTTAAAATCACAAATATATAGTTTTGCAGTTTTACGGGCAGTAAGCACAAGTGTGGTGTATTGTCAGATAACACTTGTAGGCATAGTAAAGGTGTGCAATGAAAAATATATCATTGTTTTGTGAGTGAGGTTCATCCCTTGTTTCTGCACGTATGTATTAAGTACGCAGTAAATGTACAACGCAAGTCGGAGCTCGGTTTTTTTTCCATCAAACTCGAGTATGCTCAAGAGATATGATTGCTAATTATCATCCTCTAGGACAATAGCTGCATAAAGTTATCATAAGTTTGTTGAAAAACCAAAAGATGGACAGTTTTCTGCAGCAGCACGATCTTCCTGGACTCAACGGTAAGGTTGCATCTCACTATTCCTTGGACTCTCTGTAGATCTATATATACCTACGTGTACCTCGATATAATGTATTTCCTTTGCGTTTCTCAAAATCAAGTCTTATCTTTGATTCTCTGTGACTCGTGCACCATAAGGTGTGTTTTTCCCTGTCTTTGATAACTTTGGAATTCACGTAGACATGATAAACATATTGTTGTGTTCTAGGTCTACTGGAGAAACACAAGCAGATGCAAGAGAGGTCGGCAATCAAGTCTCAGGCGCAAATGATGCACAGTGGCATTAATTTCGTCAACCCAGTAAATCCAGGATTGCAGCACGCCAATGGTTTGTTTTTGGGAAGCCCTGCAGCAATGGTGCCGTTCACGAATCATTACTTCATGGGTAGTCCGGTGCAGATGCAGTGTGCAAACGGCTACTACAATCCAAATCCCATCCTTCAGCCTGTAAACAGTTTTTTCAATCCCACTCCTGTACTCCAGCCTCCTCCTAGCAGCTACTTTAACCCCAATTCTATGTTGCAGACACCGGCTGGCACTTACTTCGATCCGAGTGCCGTGCTACCCAATCCGACCAATTTTTTCAATCCCAATCCTTTGCCCCAGTTTCCTGTGCCTCAGAATTATTTGAACCAAAATCTCATGATGCGGTACGACAATTATTTTGACCCTAACCCCGTGCCGCAGTACCAGAATAACGCTTACATTCAGAATCCGGTAACACCGTGCTTGAGCAGCACTTATCCCCCAAACTTTATGCCCCAGTTCATAATTGGTGGGAATCCCGGTGTTAATCCTGTGCCACAGTGTACTATAAACAATAACTTTAGTCAGACTGCAGTGACACACGTTGCAAATAGTAATTTCAATCGAAACGCTGTGCCGCAAAGTGTAAATAGAGTTGTCAACAAAAATTTTGCCAGTACCAACAAACCAAACTACCCCAAGGAGCAAAAGCCTCAAGGAAACGTTCCCGTTTCAACGGGCAAAGTTTACGTTAACCCGAGATACATTCATGTTAATCGAAAATTTATTTCTGATGCTAAAGAAGCAAACTGCAGTAAGGAAGAAAATTCTGACATACCTTGTGCATCGGAGACTTCAACCACATCTGTTCCCGCGGTTGCTACTGACTCTTCTGCCGAAACGAACTTCCCTAGTGTGAGTGAAAACACACAGGCAGTAGAATCTTGTAGTTCTGAAAAATCGAAGCAAGATGATGGTGGTGTACTCAAGTCAGAAAATAACGACTCTTCTGAGAATAATGCGAATTCCAGCATAGTGATATTGACGCGCAGTAAACTTGTCAGGATAAAGAAAAGTCCCATGAAACTCACGGTGGCACCAAGAAAGAGGCTTCCATCCACTGGTTTGAAAAAATTAAAGATAAGTCCAAAGAAAAATTTGACCTCTGCGAATCAATCGTACAGCATGAGTAAAATGAAATATATTAATTCGGCGACAAAAAAAATGTAAGTTTCGTCATCAATATCATTAAGTTTGTAAATTTAAAGCTGAAAATTATATGTTAAAGTTTGTTTAATTATCGTAGGAGTCGCAGACTGGGATTGATTTCTATTGATGGTGTTTTGTACAACAAAAGCCGAAATCAACTGATTCGCAGTAATTCTTCGTTAGTGAAGCGTGAGATCTCAAAATATTTGTGTTAACCATTTATTAACTATTGCTTGTATAATTTTATAATCATTGGAAGATTGGATTTCAGGAAAACTTGATTCTATATCTGACAAAAGTGTAGAATATTACGTGGCTGAAGATGGTAAGAAACTATTGAAATTGGACATCGTTAAGAAAAAAAGTGTCACTTCTCCAGTTAAATCAAACACAACTTTACCGTCTGTAAAAAATTATAAGACAAATTTCAGGTAATAGAATTGCGTTGTGTAGTTACACAGTTTTTAGATGAAAAAAAATCGCAATTCCGACATTATAATTTCAGTTACAAAGTTAAGCAGAGAAGTTTGCAAATTTTGCGAGATAAAATGCGCAAAAATAATCAACCATGCCTTTTGTTCAAAAAGTTTGGGTACTGTGCTAACCAGATAGAAGGAACTTGTCCCAAAGTGCACGATAAAAAGCTAGTAGCAGTCTGCCGAAAGTAAATTATCATGTTCATTTTATTTATTGCAACGATGATACATAATTGTTATCGTCTAATTTTCCATATTACATACAAATAGCAGTTTGAGAAATATTTGAAAATTTTGTACTTAAACATTTTTTACTTTATTAGATTTCTTCAAGGAAAGTGTCGTTTGAAGAATTGTCCACTATCACACGACGTTGGTCCGGAGAAGATGCCGACCTGCAAATACTTTTTAGAAGGTTTTTGCACTCGTGAGGGATGCCCATATTTGCATGTCAAGGTGTCGTCGAAGAAGCCCATTTGCAATGAGTTTCTACGTGGTTACTGTCCTCGTGGTAATGAGGTAAGGGTGAACATATTTCAACGTATAAGCTCATGTTTATTTGATACTTGGGTACCAATAGAACAAATACTTCCAACTAACTACTGTCCCGTTAAGTTAATCATAGGTAATGCTAACAATTATGAATTGTCGATGATAAAGTTTTGAAAAATTTCGAAAGTTAACTCTCAATGTAGCTTTTACTTGAAAATCGTAAATATTTTTCAATTTTTAATAATTGGTGAATGTGCGTTTATAAATGTAGAGATAACATTCAGATTTTTTTCTATTGTTTTTCCCATCTTAGTTTCATCACAAATGATTTAAATTTCTCCAAATTTTTAAGCCATGTTATTCATAGGTGCTTATAAATACGTTTTACTTTTTTGACAGTGATCTCGTACAAAAAATGTTGATGATTTCTTTTTAATTTCTCACACAGCACAGTTGCAAATTTTTATTTTAGCTTATTCATTTTGTTTCATTTTTAATACGTTACATCTTGTAGTTATGGTTTCATCACACTTGCGATTCTATTTTACTTAAAATGCAAGCACTTTTAGTTACAGTAAGAACGCACCAACCACAGTGATTAAAGTATATAATGTAACGGTTATTGGTTCTAAAACACAAATGATTTTGAGGAAAAAAAAAAATAAATAAATAAAACGACTAAGAACGCCAACTTGACACTACTAACACTGGCACGACTTGTTTTTGTTTTCTCTTTCTCTTGTTCATCGCACAGTGCCAGAACCGTCACATAATCGCGTGCCCAGAATTCGACAAGAGCGGCAGCTGCAGCAAAGGTAAGTTTTGTCCATATCCTCACAAATCACTCTTAACAGAGACCAAAAGACCAAAGGGATCAGCTCGGCGCAAGAGCGAGGGGGTATCGGGCGGGCGAGCTCTAAAGCTCAAGTCCCCTTCGAAAAAGCAACCGGGACAAGTGTCCGAGAGCACAAAGCGTTATTACGACGAAACGAGCGAAGATTTGAGCGTTAAACGGGATAGACTGCCAAAACAAGTCGACGCGGCGACGGAGGAGGAGCCGCTTGCTCCTGCCCCTCGTACTTTAAACGAGGAGTCACTGGATGCGTGCGATGCAAGCAAAAGTAACGACAATGCCCGTGAAACCGAACTCGTGAGCAGTAGATCCCGGAGGCCACCCATCGGTCCGCTTCCAGCTTATATTCCTATCGAATGACCTTGCGCGTTGCGTTAGGACGCGGTTCGTTTGTTGAATAAGACCACCACTTTATCTTTTCTTTCTTACTAAAGTACATCTCTTCGTGACGTTAGTTATGAGATTTTTCTTTCCCCCCCTCCCCCCCAAGAATAATTTATTCGCGAACTGTGATATATACGCTCATTTGTTACTCTATATCCGTTTGTTGCTCCCGTGTTTTTGCTGATGAAATATTTGTATTGTTGTAAATATATTTAAACGCCTTGATTGTTTGTTTGTTCGTTGAGGACGTTGAGATTTCGAATTTGATTGATATCTTTGCGTGCCAATTCTTCGCTCGTAAACTTTTTTTTTTCTTTCATCCATATCAGGATAAAACAATACTTGAAAAACTGACAAGCCCAGTCTAAAACTCCAACGTTATGACGACATATACATATATTTTTTGTAACAAAATTATTTGTAAATAAAAATAATTTATAAAGAAAAAGAAAAAAAATACAATTATTTATATTTGAAATAAATAATTTTATTCCAGTATGTACAGTGTTGTTTTTCATTTATCACAATGTTTTCCTTAAATTATTATTATTTCCTTTTTTGAGTTTCTTTTTTTCTTCATTCGTACAACGAAGTTGGAACTTTTGAAAAAAATTTCAAACAAAGTCGATACAATTTTTCAAATGACTCTCATCACTTGTGCTTTTTTTTGCCATGATACAAGAGAGTCCAATTTGTCTCTAAATTATACGCCAACAGAATTGGGCAATGCAAGAGTAAAGAAATACTGTTTTCGTCAACTTCTGCTGATATTGACAGCCATTGGTCAAGCCAAACTTGCATACTGTCAATCGACATGTTTACTGGATTCACACCTCTGAATGATAATGCCTAAAACAAAAAATTAAGTATGAACTGAGCAAATTTTTAATTAAAGAATCTATACGTTAATTCCGTCAGATCAACACATTGCTTTACGAAATAACATCTCAAAATGTAAACAGTAAACACAGTGTCAAAGTTCTATTCTTGGAAGTAAATAAATTTTATATATGTATAGTTAGAGTAATGTGTATCAAAGCTTGAACTCAAATGTACAATAATAACACTGTCTCCGGCGTTATGAGTAAAGTTGACTTTTCCTTTATCCAAATCAAACACTATAATAAATAAATTTAAGTACCCATCGAATGGCATCGTACGGCAGTTTGCAGACTCCTCCTTCTCTTTGGATGGCAGTATCCATGCGTTTGATGAGTAAACCTCTCTCAAGAAGCCTCTTTCTGTGCCTCAATCCGAACCTACTCAATCCATGAACCTTCAGTAATTCTATCTGAAAATGTAATAATTCATAAATAAGTTTTTAGCAAAATTGCCCAACAAAGGCCATGCAAATGAGTAAGTATAGCTTACAACGTGTTTTCTCGTGAGCTCCGAAAGAGAGAAAGGCTCGCCCGAAAATAATTGCCTGCAGTCGAGTATTTGCTGAACTTTTGGATGAGTTCCACTGCCCAGGTGGGCTACAATGTCTCTAAATTCGGCCTGCAGCCGAGTTTCGTGCACCTTGCACACTTCCCTTTGCATGCACCTCAGTAGGGGTTTGTTGTGTACCAGACGGCGCTTGTGCTCCTTGAGCATGAACTTGAGTTTGTCCTGGATGGACCAGTAGTGCGAGGTCAACAGAACGTGGGGAAAGTAAAAGGCCAGGGGAAAGATGATGTAGTTGGTGAAGGGCACAGCCGAAACGAGGAGCACAGGGGAAATCTTGATGAGGTCCTTGGGCATTTTAAAGCTCAGCTCGAGCTCCTCGCGGCTGAGACTGTCGACACCCGAGGTCCTCGCCTTCTTGATTGTCTGCACGTACAGCTTGAGGTCCTTGTAAAACTCGCGGGTCCCGTGGCTGAAGATCCGGTAGACGTGCATCGACCTCGGGAACTTGCTCTCGAGCAGTTTGTCGTAGTTTTTGATGTAGTCGACGTACCGGAAAAACCAGTACTTCTTCAGTGAGTTTACTCGGCTGCTGCTACCACGGCCGTTCTTGCTGTCGTCAGCGTGACGTTTTGGCAGGAGCGTCGAGCAGCAACTTGGGCTCGGCAACTCCAGCATCCGCGGGCACAGTACTCGCGTTGTTATTCGAAACATTATTGTTTATCGCTTAATCAATATAAATTGAAAAAAACAACGTAATGGAAGACGTTCAACACTATGTGTATACAGGTACGATTTAACTGTAATTATGACGACTTCAGATTCAAAAATACGTGCTTAACGGCAATTGTCGTTGTCTTCGTTATTTATCGCCAACACTTAGCCTGACACAGCCAATAATCGATGCACTATTTGATGTTTAATCATGATTTATCTATTTGGTGGCTCACTTTTATAGTTAGAGGTTAAGTTGGTCCAACAACAAGCTTTTTTTTTAACCAAAACACTTAGACACTACAGCGCGGACTTTTTCTCAATTACAGAGTATCGAATTAATTAAACAAAACTATATATATAAGAAACAATCGGTACAAAGTCACAATATCGTATGCTCGTTCACCCACTGCAGACCGTAGCAGACTGATTTCATCTCACGCTCGGTCAAACACAAATAAATAGAAAATATATAGCCAACAGTGTAATGGCGATGCAGCTCCCGATTGGTCGACATGACAATAACAGAGGCTCTCGCACGTCCCAGTCGGCGAGTCGGCCCAATCGAAAGTCTACTGACCATCCCCTCTTCCATCTTCACTCGGTAAACTATATATGGTAAACACGCTTACACACGTGCTCTTCCTCCACTGTTGTGTTTGTCGTCTGCTCTCAACGTGTGCGAGCTTTACCTATATATATATATATATATATAAATATATAACACTGCATCACCAAAGTAGAGTGTGCACTCATAGTGTAATANTAAGTCCCAAAGCTTCATATTTGGTATATGTTTTTTTTAAATATATTTTGGTGTCTGAGTATTTATTTACAACGTACACACATTTTGACAATATGTTTAGTGACTTTATTTGTAAACAAAACAATATTTAATCAGGTGTCTGGGATGTTAGCTGCAATGGCTCGTTGGAAAATCAAAATCGACCTTGATCAACAAAAATGGTGAAATAGTTGTTGTTTGTTGTCGGGGTGATTTTTTTCTACGTATTAATCTGTTGACCAAAACATGAAACGTTTGTTAAAAATGACTTTTGCAATCATTGTTTAATTGAAAAATTTCTTACATGTGTGTACAAGTCAATGGGATCGTTGTCTGTTTGACCTTGACATGATTAAATACAAATTCACAAAAATTGGTGCTAAGTTTAAGAAATTAAAAAAAATTTTATATCAGCAAACCAGTTATTCATTCAATTTGATACATTGAACTTTAAATTCAATGCTGCATCGCAAATAATTCTTTTCTTACAAAAA